AAAATATTGCTTGTTCCTTCAAATCATTATTGTTTCTATTGTTCTTCAAATTAAGTATGTTCCTGCCAAAGAACATGCTACTGCTGAGGTGAAATATGTAGAGTTCTATAAAAAGTTTTATAGTTCCCTAAGCCAAAGGGAAATTGTGTTTCTGATTTGTTTCAGCTGCTGATTTACCCTGAACTGAGCTGTCCAAATGCCATGTGATCAGTGTGAAGCAAAACCAAAGGATACTGAGCTGATTCCAACAAAACAGAAGACTTCAGGCCCAAGAAGGCAAGGGAAGCACATGACTGCAGGTGATGCTCTGTCCTTTAATAGCTCTTACCTCTCCTTGTCTGGTAAATTGTGAAAATTCCTCCTGTCATCCTGAAATAGCTTTCCTTCATGGCAGACACCATGTGGATTTGTCAAAGGGGTTTAACAAGTCACGGAGCATCTCTCTGCTGAGAGGAAGTGGCATGGGATGGATCATGGGGGACAGCAGTATTTGAGATGGTCTTGGGAAAAGAAAGACATCTTGTTCTGAAAAAGCACAGCTCTACCTCTACCTGCTCTGGCACCCACCTTTGGGGCAAACCCACCTGCCCATAGCCCAAGTTTACCAATGTGACTTGAAAGACATTGGTGTCTCTCCTGGTGTGGCCTCCACCCTCCTGCAGGGTCCTGCCAGCCACCCCTCCCCTGAGCAGAGCTGCTCCCAGGCAGTGCCTGCAGAACAGCCAGAATCCAACACCTGGCAGCAACCCCCATCCCCAGCACTGCTCAGCAGCCCAGAGCTAAAACCCGACCCCAGCAGTGCATCAGGGTCCCAGAGCAAGCCAGGAGCAGCCCCCAGGGCCCCAGAGCCGCTCCTCCTGGGCCAGGCAGCTCGCTCAGAGGAGCCCTCCTCCAGGCTGTGTGAATTCCCCCCATGGAAAAACAGGTGCTGCTCAAACACTTGGGTTTCAGCTTCATTTGTGCCATCTGAGGCACCAAACAGCCATGACAGGCTCCGGTGATGTTTTCTGCACACAGATGTGGAAACCCTACTTCACGGTCCTTACTCCTGGCACCTTCCACCACTGACCAAATTATTCCAAGAGCATGCGACAATCTTCCCCAGCTGCAAACACACATTTGTGGATTCCCATGGTAAACTTCTGGAGTATAAGAAACGGCACAATTTCAGTACCTGACTGAGAGCATCCATATATTGTCTGCATGTGCCTTGGAGTGGGGTGAGAGGGGAGAATGGGGGCAGCTCTCCTGCCCTCCTGCTGGGCTGCTTGGCAGAGGAAATGGAGAGGTCAGAGCCTGAATTTTGCTCACCATTTCCTTCACTGTGAAGCTTCTAGCCTAGTCCCTAGGCACATTCTTCACTTTATTACAGCTGCATTTGTTGGAGTGCCCTCATGTTACACCAGTAAGACAAATAAAGGGGCAACCAATGTCACCACCAGCACATTAATTTTTACGGGCCCCAGCAGTAGCGACGGAGCAATGCAGGGTTTTTACATCTGCAGCCAGCAGAATCTAAAAGGACACCTCTGTTTCTCTTCCTGACTACCAGCATGGTGAGCCCGGGGCGGCGGAGCCACCGTGGGAGGGAGGCCTGGGCGAGCAGCGGGTTACACAAACAGTTTCATAACCCGCTGAGGAGGGCACCGGGGAGGGGAACACGAACTTCTGCTCCACATCAGACATCTGCTTCATTTTATCCTTGCTCTGTACATACAGCAGCATAGCTGCTCTGGAAATCCAGACCTGGCCTCCTGCCTATCATTCAAGCAGTTTAATTTATACTCAGGATGGGAAAGTATACAACATGTCTATGAGATAACATCAATGTCCTGTCATCTACTGACTGCACCTCCTCTGCTTTGAGTTCTTACTCCTGTTCTTGTATATACCACTTCTATGTATGTACCACATGCTTTTTGTCACTGTAAAATGATCTGTGAAGTATGATTAGAACAATTCTAATTTGTAAGAGGAAAAGCAGAGAACTCCAAAAAAATCTCCTGTGGTGTGACCAACCCCTCTTCCAAGAAGAAAGCAGAGACTGGGAAAGGCAACAGCAAGAGAAACAGGAAAAAGAGACAACCATAAAGCTTCTACAGAAGTAGGAACAGCAGTGGGAAACTTTGGGGAAATTCAAAATTTTCCTTTGTCCTTTTGTGAGAGGTATCTGTCCCTAAAATCCATGCCATACTAACTATGACATCTACTGAAAAATCAAGAATGCAAAATGTAATGCTGCATACAATGCAAGAATGCCCAGAGAACACACTTAAACAATTCTCTCAGAAAACACCAGAGTGCACTACCGCGTAGCTGTCGTCAACTCAGAATATGTTGCTTTAAACTTTGTCCAGTTGGTCTTGACAAACTCCACAGATGGAGATTCCAGAGCAGTTCTGAGGAATCCATTCCTGTGTTTATCCTCTTTAAACCTCCCTTTCACTTAATCTGAACTGTAACCAATTAATAAATTAATCACTTAATCAATTTTTGACCAACATCTCTTTTCCTATCACACACATCAGTGAAGAGCTTGGCTCTGTATTCTGTACAGCTCTCTCATATGGACTGAGGATCAGCTATTAGGTTCCCTCTCCAAGTCTTCAAGCTGAACAAAATCCATTCCCTTGGCCTTTTCTCACAGGAGTGTGCTCCAGTCCTCACCATCTTGATAGCTTTCCACTGGACCCACTCCAGTCTTTTTTGGATCTTAAGTGTGTCAAATACACATCCTTGCATACACAGGTTCTCCAGATCTTGATTTTGCTTTTTTCTTGGAGGCTTCCATTATCAAAGTAGCAAGTACTTGTGATACTTCTCTGGAAACCTAAACATGAGGATTCTGAGGCAGGTGGATACCTCACACTGCACTGAATTATCAGCAGAAGCAGCACCTGGATATCAATGGTCTCCCAGCCTGCAGGAATCCAGACAAGCTTTTTGGCCTGCTGTTCCTCTGTCAGGAAAAGAAAGAGAAATTCCACCTCCACTCAGATGGATTTCCTGAGCTACTTACATATACAGGACTAACTAGTTCACCTAAAAGAAATGGAACAGCAGATTTCATTCATTCATTAATTTGGTACCCAAAGATTGCACTAAACCCACCACAAACACTTCTCAATTCATCCTTTCATTAATGAATAGCACTTTCATACTCACAAGGAAACGAAAATGTCACAACTGTACGTTTATGGTGCTAAACACAATTAAATGGTAATGTAGCCAATACAGTCACAGTGCTGTTACACTGAAGTGGGGTGTTTCAGTTAACATCCAATTTTTAAACATTATGAAAGCAAGATGATGATATTTAACTGAGCTGCTGAGGGTTGCATAGTGTTGCCTAATGAAAAACAATCCATGGCATGCATCACCTTCACCTCTTTCTAAAATGTGATGCTTAACAATTGTCCCGAGTATGTTACAAAAAGCATTTTCTTAAAGGGGGGCCTTTGGTGCAAGACTTTGATTTCTGCTTTCAACAGTGAAACTTCAGGTGGTCATTGCAGGCAGCACAGTACAGGGAGCCCTTTGCAGCAGAGCCCTGCTCCACTGAAATGAGACACAAGCTCCCTGGGGAACAGCGTGGTGTGTGACACTTGTCCTCTGCTGTGCAGAATTAGTGATGGCCACAAATTCGAGACTATATCAACAGTTCTACGATGCAACAGACAACTCTGCTGCCTCCTGAGCTCACTGTGTACACAAAGAGAAGATGACACGGAAGGGAAAATATTCTTTTGGTGAACGGATGAAACCTCTTATTTTCTCCCACTAACAGTATGGTGGGTGACCAAATGTCCCAGATTTCTCCCACGCAATTCACTGTCTCATTTTTGCGGTCATTACTCCTGTGGATAGTACTGCAAAATACTCAGTCTGCAGAGTGGATTTTGCATAATACGTAACAGGAGTTTTAATATATTTAAAAGCACACCTCAGGAAAATCCTCAATCTCCCCTCAACATCACAAACAGTTCCTTAATACCACTTTGATGCATTGTGCATGTTTACAATCAGACAATTATATTAATTTCTATGACAGAATTGGGTTAGTATGTGTACCACTACATTTTTTAGTCACAGCACAAGAGCCTGGCAATGGTAATTGAGATCACAAGTGAAAATTAACCACATTGCATTCATGGCAGAGAAAAATACAGCTTACACATTTTATCCGCATTCAAATTATATTTCTGCTTTGTACACACAACCTTCTGCTCTGATTCTGTGTTCATGACTTGCTATTCTTTTCCATATATATCAAGAGGCTAGGAGAAAGAAAAATATTTCAAGTTTTCTGGTACAAGGCATAAAGTTTAATGATTGGACAATCATGATCTGAAATTGCGTAGTGAAAATTACAAATCTGTGAGTAAAGCAGGAGAAATACTTTAGTTAACAATACCTTGCAGAAACGTTGCAAGGCAAACACAGAGCACTATTAAATTCTAAAGTGTGAAGTATTTCCAGTTACATCCCTGCTGTGAAACTCACTTGGGAACAAAAGGGATCATTGTTAAACAATAATCTGAACGTGATTGTGTTGTAATATGACAACAGGCCACTAGATCTTGTTTTGTGTTTTGAGGAGATTTAGGCAAGTGCCCAAGTTGCCAAGTAAGTTACTTTTCAGAATATCTACTGAAACCAAACATTAATAAACCCACTAACAGGTCTTGGTAACACTGAACTCTGCAGATGCATCACTGGTGAACACTTTCCATCTGCTATGTTCAGAAATATATTATTATATTACTGTCTTATTTCTACAGTTTTTTTTTCCTGCTAGCTGAAACTCATTATTGTAATATAAACCTAATAACATTGAAAGTATTAATATTCATGCAAACTTGTTCACAGAGGAAAAGCAATGACTCAGACCTGTAATTTCTCTTACACATTCCACTAATAATCTCTTAAGAAACAAGTGTCAAATACTGTGACTTATACAAACAGCACCAGTTAAAATTTCAAGAAAGCACACAAGTACCTTTTCAAAAAAACTTATTTTTATTGTTTGCACTAACTATATTATATCATTAACAGCTTTCATCTCTAACAAACTGAAGCAAGTCAGTACACACAAAAACCTATGCAAGGTCAAGCAGATCCTAGGTTACATAAATGCAGTACACCTTGGTGTGTAACAAGACTAAGGGCAGTTAGTTCATCCTAACATTTCAAGCACAGTCACTCCGGTTTTGTGAATTTTTCAGAGCTGTTAAAAAGTTGCATTTCATTTAAAAAGGAAACAGCTAAAAGACTTAAAGAAATTACTGATTTTAAAGCAAAATTCCTACATCTAAATTATTACAATGCAGCAAGGACCCTTTTTCAGGTGTAATACCATTGCTCTGCAAAACAAAAAAAAAAAAAAAAAAAAGAGAAAATTAGTCAATTTGTTGTATTAGGCATAAATTATCATTAGCAGCCTAAACACTTGCCAGCTCACACTGCATATATTCCCATTTCTTTCATGTTTGCCAGGTCCACTTATCAGCTCCTGGCTTTCTCTCTGAGCTGGAAGAGAAGTGGGTATAAAACCAATCCCTTCTGCAATAGAGGACTTTGCCTTTTTAAATGCTAGCTGAAAACCTGAGGCTTACCAAACAAGTGCCTGCATGTGATCCCCTACTGCTCTACAGTAAGACACTCACAAACCAGGACAGTCCACTTGGGTTTACTCATTTCTGCAAGGGGTTTATGAACTAATTTTTAGAGTAAAATTATTAACCAAGAATTTTGATGAATAAGCTTTATTCCCTCAGTCTCTGAATGCAGTTTGTTCTAACTAAAGCATTTGGCTGGATCTGACGCATTTGTTATTTATCTTACTTCCCTGGCATAAATCCAGAAGTCAGCACAAGAGGAAAGGAGTGACGGAAGGCAAAAATTAGCCCAATTCAAACAGTTAGAACTGAAATACATAGGATTAACAGATAGGGCAAACACCTCAGTACATACTAAAGATCTCACAGGAGGTTGTATGGGAATCCTGAACCAATATGGATCACTGGAAATTTAAGCTGCCTAGCCCCTCAAAAGCCTTATAATGCTAGATTTTAGCAAGCGAGCTTAGCCCATCCCTGTCCACACCCTGGAGACCCCCAAAATCAAAGTACAATAGAATTATTCTTAGGTATATTCTACTATACTACATATGCTTCCAGATTAGTTTTACCTGAAGCAAATCTTTAACCCCTAAGGATGCCAATGATGTAGGAGCAGACACCATGCAGAGATTCCCAGCAATGTTCCCGTGCCAGTTTCATTGCTTCTGTTTCATTTTCAGACCCTTGACCATGTTGGGTTGGGTTAGAGTTTTGCCCTGCTTCCCTCATAGGAATGGAAGCTTTCTGGACTGATTTTTCCTGGTCTGCTAGATCTTCTGGCTCCACACCAGCAGCTATTTGCCTCATGAGAGCCTCTGGGGGAGCCTTTTGGCACATGGTGGTCTTCAACACTTCCATGGATTCGCAAGCGTGCGGGATCTTTCTGAGTTCTGCAGCGATCTGATTCCAGTAAATCTTCGGATTGTTTCTGAAAGCACGACAGACTGATGGCTTGCCAGTGAATTCACACCAGTAGGACATGCCTTGGCTTTTGCATTCAATTCTAAGTTTCATCTCCTCATCATCACCCCTCACGGTTATTGTGCAAACATCTTTGGTTTTAGTCCGAAATTTGATTTCTTCACCATTGCTTCTTTTCTTTGGCTTCAGCTTCTGTCCCAGTCCTCCCATGCCACAGATCACAACTAGGAAAAGGAGAGCAAAACTCTTCATGGTGAGAGGAGTGAACCGAGATCCTTGAACAACACGATCCAAAGAAGTAAAAGCAGTAAGTAAATGGCTGCTCACAATTTAAAGCCTTGGTGCACAAAGAAGCCTCTTTCCTGCTAAGCATCAGATGTAAGGGTTGGGCATTTTTATAAAAATAATAAATCACACTTCAGTAGGCAAATGCTTGTAATTTATAGCCTGAGGGAGTGTCAAATAACCTTGGGAGTGTGAACTCCCAAGAAGGTAACAAGACATGTCTTGTAAACGCAGTTAAAATACAGAACGATAGTTGTATAACTGAGAAGCACATTCCTATCCAGGATGAACATGTCATATTTGATTTTTAACAGATATTTTCCATTCTCCAGCTGCTTTATAGCTATCCTCATGCTAGAACTTGTAAGATGATATCAAAGTAAAAAAAGATAGAAGTATCAAACCAATCTCTGATGTCCTGGTAGTTTAAGTGTCCTGGTAAAAAAGCTGATTTGTAGAACGGGCTTTCTGTGGATTTTCACAGTATGGATGCAACTTTAGCTCTACCTTCTGTCCACACATGACATGCAGTGGGGATGCATGGAAGGATCAACTGCACATTCTTTGAGCCATGTAGGTACGCAAGAAAATAAATAAAGTTTAAGAAAAATAAGGTATTACAGGTCTAAAAAAATACCAAACATCTGTAAGTTTTATCATCATTTTTACATCACGAGTCACTTTCAGCCAACAGAGCAAGACCTTGGCATAACTAACTTATCACAGGTCTCAGCAGCAGGGAACAGACCACAGAGCATGTCAGACAGGTATTTGCACTTCATCACTTTCTTATTTTTAAATAGATATTTTCCTGTTTGTAATAAGTGAGCTGTAAAAATGCTGTAAAACAAAGGCAGGAGAACAGAAATATTGTAGTGCAGAATCCTGTCCTAGCAGTTTCTGCTGCAGTAACTAAAAACAGAGCTAAGAAAAAATCACTGTAACTCCCTTAGCATTCAGGTCGTGAGGAAAAATCCTTCCCCTGCTGTGGCAATCCACAGTACTTTTCTGGTTAGTAAGACCCCCCACGAGGCACTTCTTCCAAAGACATATATGCTACAGCCAGCTGACCTGACCAGCTCCTGGAAAGGGCTATTGGATTGTTTAGGTATGCTTCAGTAACTGTGGGGTGCCAGAAACCCTTGGTTTAAGACTGGCCATACATAATGGAACAGAACAGCAGTTTGTGTATTTAGTCACTCCCTAGGTAGCGCTAAACAAAATACTAAGGCAAAACCATTCCTTTTAACACAGATGGTAAAGCAGAACATCAACAACAACAAAAGCGAGTCCCTTACTGCTGTGGCAGCCCAGGTAACTTGAAAGCTGCCTGACAGAAGATGCAGCCACCTGAACAGCCATTCTCAGTATCCTAGCCTTGTTCTTCCAGTCAGCGTGCCATCAAGTTCTCATGAGTAAATACCATTTGACAGAGAAAACAATCTTGTTTTCTTTTCATTCCCTCTCCATGGCTATTTTAATACAATTTTTAAAAGAAACCTCATCTCTAGCTTCTTTCCATCAGCTCCTCCTCTCTCTTTTAAGGCACAGTGGTGTGGCTCCAGCCAAGTCTTAGGACAACAATGGCATAAGCCTACTTAAGACTTACCATTCACTCTTCTGTTGTTTTCTGGGGAGTCTTCTCACCCTTCAGCCAGCCAGAAGAATCTTGTTACCCACCTCAAATCCCTCCTGCAAGCACTTGAATACCTCCTAATATATGACCAAAAAAATGTATTGTTTACACTTTGTTATGCACAAGAGCACTGAGAATTTTTAGTTTTTCTGAAGAGTCCAAAACAATTCAAAAGTTAATTTATACCAGTTTCAGATCTCTTGTTCTCAAAGGTTTTCATGTCTAATCACGAGAACAAATAAACCACAAGGATAAGGAGAAATATCGAAGCTTGGACTCAAAAATATTTATGCGTTAGCTATTGTGTTCCCACCAAGTGTTTGGCTCATTCTAATCTGTCATTTCAGTCCTGTCTGCCTGTGCTTCAGAATAAACAGTTAGTGGTCTTTCATATCAGTAGAAGACAATTGTTCTTTTACAAGGAAAGCTAGGATGTCAGCAGTGAACTGTGGGAGCTGAAGAACCAGCAAATATTTAATTCTGCCGTCAGTGCTATACAGAAACAGGTATCCTGCACAGCTCATAGCTTGAATCCTACCATCTTTGCATAATTCACATTCTTGGTGGAAGCTGGAAGCTCCCTCACCCAAAGTTCTTTCAGTCCTTCCTGCTGCAAAAGTAAAAGTCAAATATAGCAAAGATTTTTGATCAGGGTAAAGACATTCACTCTCGTAAGAGTTTAACTCTGTGCAACTCTTCTGAGAGATGTCTCCACAACAAAACAAGGGAGAACCCAACATAAGGTAGTTAAGCAAGATCTTTTTTATTTAAATGAACTGGGAATATTTTCTCAAATTAAAAATAGAAACTTTTAAAAATCTGCAATTTTGAACATTACATATACACATATGCTACATACTGTCAATTAGAAATGTTTCCATTTATGACATAAAAATGAAAAATTTAAGGTTATTCCGGATTAAAGACTGCTATCATTTTTCAGCATTTCTTCAAAATTATAATAATGATGTACAGGATTATCTCTACTTCAAGACAATGAACCCTGTTTGAAAAAAAGTTAACAACAGTGATAGATGAAGAGATACTATTTTAGATCAATATATTGACTACTTCACCTGCCATAAGGTTTTACACTGGTAACACAGTTTTGGCCTTGTTGATAAAGTTTACTGTTAACTAATTCAGCAATTCAACCATATGCCTAAATTCAGTGAAATAACTCTAACAGTACAAATGTTAACTCCAATTGCTAAACAGATTTGAATTTCAATATTGTAAATCACAGTATAGTATTATTTAGCAAAAATACTACCACTGCCTCCCAAGGAGCCACAGTGATACTATTAAGGACATTACAGAAGTGGGTGTGAAAGAAGAAAAGGAAGATAGAGAATGTAAAGCATTCCAAAAATCGCCAACATAGGACATCTGTCATGCTCTTTTTGAGTACTACTGAACTCTAGAAAGCTTAGCTTTTTCACTATATTATGCATCCCGCACACCCCAGACCCTCCCACCCAAAGTTTAAAAACAAACTTCTCCAAGAAGTCCCTTTCATGTCTATACAGCAAAATCCACTAAATATTAAATTATTAAGGAAAAAAAAAAAAAGAAAAAAGAGGGAATAAAACAAAACTGCAACTGAGCTTCACACAAAGAGACATTGTGGACCCCATGACAATCCAAATTTAGTCCAATGTAGTCATTCAAGAGCACCAAATAGCAACACTGGTCATGCTGGTAAATTCATTTGTGAAGAGTATTATACAATATTAAAATCTTAACTAAACACTTAAAAGTTTTAAGAAAAATGTATATACAAAAGTCTCTGGTATACAAAATGTATTTTTATGTAAACGTGTATGTACTTTATTTAACACAAATCAACAATTTAAGATAAGAACTTGAACAATTTTAAAAGAATTGCTAGGCAAAGGCTGTTAATCTAATTAATTTATATACTGTGATGTAAGGTAGAAAGCCCAGTGTAAAAAAGTAAAAAAACCAAAAAAACATTTTAATCCAAGCCTTGAACAGTGGTATTTGAGAGGCAGTGCCCTGATCACAAAATATTCTGTACAGTAGTTTATGGCATAACATTCAATAGTACATTTGGGATTTACAGTACAGCTGACATAAAACAAGTGGCTCAGGATCTGTCAGATGAATGGAAATGCCAAACGCCAATACAATGGAAGAACAATGATGTACTCCCATAGAAGAGTCTTGAGCCTCATTTATATAGCCTGGAAATAATAACAAAAAAATTAGGAAAAAAATTATGAAGACTGAATTTTAACATAATTTAAACAGAACAAAGGGAAAGATTTTAATACAAACATCAATATGACTGAATACCTTTTTTGATTTTAGACCTCGATTTTGATTTTAGACGCTTGCCTTGGCGTGTCTGGGGTAGTGTGATGTATAGCATACTCATTGTTGCAGCAATCAAGAGCAACCTTCCTCAAATAGTAAAGTAGTAATCGATCTAGAATTGATTTAAGTTTATTACTTACCCCTTAACACTTCCAATATGTGTTACCACTGTTCCACAGAGCTACATGAGAAAAACAAAAACAAACATAAAATAAACCCATCATTTTCTTCTGTCCACAAATGGAACAGAAATACTGTGTCTAAACTTAGGTAAGACAAGCTCAGTTGGCCTAAGATAGTCTCAATATATTACTCATTTAATCAAGTACTTTTCAAACAAGAGAAAATACATCCATGGTTTTCTCCACCAACCTTTCAGGTTATTTTTGTTTCACTATAGAAATAAATACTTGGATTGCCTATTCAACACTCCTCTTTTGTAAATTTAATCCAGCCTCATGTTTTGCTCTCACAAAAATGGTGGCTGCATTTGAGTTTATTTGTGTCTTTGACATATATATATATATATATATAAAAATACCTGTGTGAGACACATATACCTCATGTAGCTCTTGCATGTACTTAGGTATCTTAGTGTTATAAGAATATTGCATCTCTTTTCAGCAAAATTATCCAGCTGATTCTGAAGGATAAAAACCCCAAGCCCAACCCTGTGGCATTCTTTAAACCTGCAAAAGCGTAGGCATACAGAGATCTATTCAAAATCGTATCTCTCAAAGTATATCCAAAAATCATTTGTAGGAAATGAGAAAAATCAAGGATAGTATAAAAGCAAAGAGTATACTAAAATTTGATTTTATTCATATGGGAATGCCATAATGAGAAATTCAAAGCATGTATGCCATAATTAGCAGTTTTTCAAATTACCTCCATTAGCACATCAGAAGACAGCACTGCATCAAACTGAATTTGTAAATTTTAGCATTTTATCAAAATAAGTCAGGACTGAATTAGTGGATCTTTGTATAAAAGATTATTTTATGCTAGTAATTTTTAGGTTGTTCAGCAATGCTGAATTAAATTATCAATGACTATCGTAAGAAAACATGCTATGAACCTCAAAAATATTAACAGTCATATTAAAGATTCAAAGATCAGAAAAGGAATTCTAAGGCCTAGGAAATTATTGATTTTCTCTATTGTAAAATACTGAAAATCCTTAAAACTGAGAGTCCTTAGATATGCCAATGGAGAGATTTTTTGACTTAAACTCCTTGTCAGTTAATATGGGGAGTAAGCACCCTTAAATTGCAGAACAGACCACAACAACTCTGATCGTAAATATCACTAAAAATATTGTTATATAAAGACTTCCTTCAGAAGGAGATCTGGAATGAAGATTTGGTCAGTAAATAATTATTGTAAAATACAGTCCTAAGTAATAGTAATAACCATCCTCATCATCATCACCAGGTGTAACCATGAACTCTGTCAAGACCCAAACTTTGACCTCTCTCTATTCACTTGTTATTTAAAGCATAGTGGTGTCTTCTTTATAAATACTCAACCTATACATTCAGTCATGAAGTTGCAAAGTAAGGCACAGTGAGCTACAGATTTCAATCATAAATTTAAACTGTTCTTAAGCAACCTGCAAATTTTGCTAAACCAAATAATGAAGTTGTGGGATATAGAGTATTATCCCCCCGGAAACTGAGTCTTACAATTAGCTAATGTTTTACAGCACAGAAGCTGTAGAGGCAGAAAATAACCCAAACATCCTCCTTTTTTTAAACATATCTTGAGCTTCTTGCTTTGTGATGCTACATTCTAGTGCTACCCATACACAAGCACCCATTTCCTACGTTCATGCTTCCTGCATACCTGAAACACTTGCCTTTTACAGGAGATCTCTTCTCACCATTTAAAAAGTAAAACTACTCAGGATGTATTTCCATCCTATCACTTTCATCTGCTATCAGAGAATTTTAATAGGTTTGTCAATTTAGGACCAACCACTGTTGTGACTAAATACCTGATTACATGGATTTTAAGATCAAATTTACCAATTACTTTGTTAAATTGCAGGAAAATACCTCTATACCAGGTGTTATATAAAGAATATTTGAGAAATATACATCATACTGCATTTGCTACAGTGAATAATCATGCAAAAAGACCACCAGAGAATGAAGAGATTCACTTTAAAGCATGAAGAAAATTGGAAATGTGATTAAAAGAGAAGCTGAAGTAAGGACACATGAAGGCATGCAGTTTCAGACTTGGTTTACCTTGTAAAAACAGGATTGTGTATACCATATAAATTCTCTTTATGATAACCATTATTACCATTTTCCGTACTGTAATAAAATAAATACACCAAGAAAGACCATGTTAACTATAAGATGCACTATATACAATATGGCTTCTAACACATGTACATGGATGATGGTATTATATGCAAAGATACGCTGTGTCTGTACAATAGAATATAACTTTTTCTTTGTAACATTCAAGAATTATGGTATAATTATAACTTTACATTTTATAGTATTTTTATATTCTCCAAAAATCAATTAATTATTTTTCTATTCATGTTGAGTTGGAGACTCTAATATAATCTATCAAGCCTGGAGAAAGAGAACATGTTACCTCTTTTGAAGTAACAAGTTACATTAAAAATATAAACCCTTCCATATTAATAAAATAATTTCAATAAATATCAGCAAAAGTCTTAACGTTTTCATGGGTATATTTTTGAAACTAAAAAACACAGAAAAGGAGGAGTAATTAACTAGACTCTAATAAGTGAGTAATTTCAGCTGTACATGCCTGTTTGTACGCTACTGACTTGTCAATGTGCAATGAAAAACAACCACTGTGAAATGGGAGAAATGCAGTGCACAGGCTAACTGAACAATGAGCAAAACAAGGAGCAGAAAAGAAAACAGTAAAAAAACTGACAGGAAAATACGTAAGAATAGTTATCATAAAGTAAAATGCCAAGTCCCTGAGACAGAGGAACTGCAATTGAAAAAGGAAAGACTGGTTAGGAATAACTAAGACAGCAAGAAAGCAAATAATTAATTCAAGGAGACTACAAATAAGGCACAATTCACTTTAACAGGTTACTTAGCAAAGCTAGTAACTTGCACATTTGGAACTTATTTATATAAATGCTGCTCACAAAGCTCTGAAGACCTCATTCTGACATAAGATTCTCAAAGTCAGAGCCAGCTCCATCTGCATTCATGGCAAGTCAAGGCTACCAAAGGCCACCTGCATGAAGCAGTTTGCA